GGTATGGAGAACCCTAGATTTGTATGTTAGGTTTGATTGTATGAACCCAAGTACTGATTCTATGATTTGATTATATTCAATTGAGGTTTGAATGATTGAATGGCATGGATCCTGATCAAATTCCTGTTGTTTCTGCTTTAACCTAGAATGAGAATATCTTCCTAGGTTGATAGAGCATCCTTGATTGAAGGTAGGGAGTTGGTGACTTTAGTCGAGGAGCCAACTCACTATTCTGTACCGAATCCACTTCGGTAGTGGAGGTTTTGTTGTTAGGGCCTCAATCTATTTACTCCGGTGGAGGTTAGTCGCCCGCTAGAGACTCAGATTGAGAGGGTCTGAAGACCTTTAGTCCAGACTTCAGGCTGTTTAAGAACCTTCCGCAGTATAACTATCATAGAAACTGAACTTGGTAATTGCAATCCGACTTAACTGCAGTCTAGGGGGAACCATATCCGGGTGACCTCTCTTAACCTGAAAACAACCATTTACTTGCTTTGTTTGTTTGTTAGTTTAGACTTGCATTAAATTTTCATTGCTAGATAACAAGAATTCACCGAGTAGTCATCAAATCTAGGACCCGGGTTGACATTTAAACCCAAACCCGCTATACTACGCTTTAGGAAGTGGTTTCATTTGGCTAATTCCTAGAGTGACAGTAGAAGTGAGTCAAGTTTTTGGCGCCGTTGCCGGGGACGGCTAGGTTGTTGAATAAAAGTGATTTCTGTTAATTTAGCTTTTCTTTTCGCTTTGTTTGCTTTGTCCCACTTGTGCCTTCACGGGTTTTCTTGCTTGAGTGTGTGCAGGTAGTGCATGACCCATAGCCAGTCGGGAGGTTTACTGCCGTTGAATCCAGAGATTGACCGCACCTGTCGCCAACTCAGGAGACAACAGCGAGCTAGACTGGCTACGGAAGAGCGCATAGACAGCCACCTGAGCTCCGATTCTGAGGAAGAGTACGGGATGGACGGAGAATACAATCCACACCAGGGGAATCCTCAGCAGGCTCCCCCGGGGAATCAGGTCCTGGGGAACAACCCCATACCCCAGGATCATGGGGTTCATCATCATCCACCGCCGCCGGGTCCCACATTGGAGTACTACTACACTCCACGAATTGCTGACATCCGCCCAGTCATCCTCTACCCGCCTATTCCAGCAAACAACTTCGAGATCAAGCCATGCTGGATTCAGCTCATTACATCCTCTATCCAGTTCCAAGGCTTGAAGGATGAGGAGGCAAGGGTACATCTTTCCCGTTTTCTGCAGCTGACGAACGGGTTCAAGCTGAATGGTGTCCCTGATGATGCAATCCGCCTTCACCTCTTCCCCCATTCTCTGGCGGGGAATGCTAAGAGGTGGTTGGAGACCCAGCCCCCATTGTCCATCACCTCTTGGGACGATCTGGCTGACAAATTCGTGCACAGGTATTATCCGGCATCGAAGACTACAGAGATCCAGCGGGAGATCACTCACTTCCGCCAAGAGCTAGATGAGTCATTTCGTGATGCTTGGGAGCGGTACATGGGATATTTCTGGCAGTGTCCCCATCATGGTTTCAGTAATGCATTCATAGTGGGAAACTTCTACAGTGCTCTCTCTCCAGATAGCCAGAGGGTGATTGAGTCTCTATGCCCAGGAGGGGATATTCTTACTAAGACTCCACCCGAGCTGAACCAGATGATCAATACCTTGGCTGCCAGAGATCATTCTTGGGGGCAGAGCAGTAGAGGCAGACAGTCCCGGGACCGTGGTGTGCACGCCATGGAGACCAGATCCGGGCTCGAGCAACAGGTAGCTGAGTTGGTGCAGACATTGAAGCAGCCCAACAGTCTTATTCCGGGCAGAGGTTTGGCTACACCTCCAGTAGCTCAATGTCAGTGGTGGAGAGCTCAAATCACTTAGTGGAAGACTGCCAGGCTATGAGGGAGTCTACTACTCCCCAAGAGCAATTGGACTTCATCGCCAATGCTCGGCGCCTCGACCCGTATAGCAACACATATAATGAGGGGTGGCGCCAGCATCCCAATTTCGCCTGGAGCAGCAACACCACTAAACCACCTGGTTTCCCAGCACCAGCGGGTGGCTTTCAGCAGAGGCAGCCCTTCCAGGCTCGACAGGGGCCAGCCCCACAGCAGCAGCCCTACCAGCCTAGGCAGGGGCAACTATTCCAGCAGCCCTAGCGCCTGTTTGCCGAGCCAGCAGCAGCTCCAGCTCCAGATGATTGGATGACAAAGCTGGAAAATATTCTAGCTTCATTCATGACTAGCACTCAGGCAACTATCACGAGGTTGGACCAGAGCGTAGCCTCGCTGGAGGCAGGTCAGAGGAACCAAGGTGCCATTTTGCAAGATCTGCAGCACCAGGTGGGTATCTTGGCCCGCCAAAACACTACTAGGGCACCGGGGACTCTGCATGCCACCACTATTCCGAATCCTCGTGATCCTCACCAGCATCAGCAGCTGGATGCCATTTTTACCAGGAGCGGTAAGACCACATCTGTTGATCCTGTCCCGGCCAGGCAAGAGGTACCACTACCTGCTTCAGCACTTCCAGCCGACGATGCAGCAGTGCGGGTGGAGAAGGAAGCCCCTGCTCCCAAGCCACAACCAGTGGTTAAGGAGCATGTACCCCAGCTTCCCTTCCCAACTCGCCTACACAAAGACAAGTTGGAGACTGAGTTTGCCAATTTTATGGCCATGTTGAAGCAGCTCAACATCAGCATACCGTTTGTGGAGGCACTGTCGAAGATGACCAAGTACGCAAAGTTCATGCAAGACCTCCTCACCAACAAGAAGAAACTTGGGGATCTCTCGACAGTGATGCTCAGTGAGGAGTGTTCTGCTATCCTGCAGAACAAGCTGCCCGAAAAGCGCAAGGATCCAGGGAGTTTTACTATCCCTCTTACTATTGGCAGCATGCATGTAGGCAAGTCCTTGGCAGACCTAGGCGCTAGCATAAACATCATGTCATATAAGTTGTACAAAAAGCTAGACCTAGGTGAACTTAGCCCTACTAGGATGAGCATTCAGCTAGCTGATCGCTCCATTGTGCATCCTAGGGGGATCATAGAGGATCTGCTAGTTAATGTAGGTGCATTCACATATCCTGTTGATTTTGTTATTCTTGATATACATGAGGATGTGGATGTGCCTTTGATTCTGGGTAGACCATTTCTTGCCACCGCCAAGGCACTTATTGATGTGCATGATGGTAAACTGATCCTGCTTGCTGGGAATGAGCAGGCTACTTTCTCTGTGACTGAATTCGATCATTTTGTTATGATTGCTGTCACGCTTGTACATGCTATTTCTGATCAGGTACACGAGCCTGTCGTGTATCCTTCTGCACCTCTTATTTTGCAGGACCCTCCTATCATTCCTTCGCCGCCACTCCATCCAGTCTCGCCTCCGAACAAAAAGATCAAGGAGGAGTGGCGGCCGAAGCAGCAGGTTGCTAAGCCTGCACGGAAGAAGGGTGGAGACCACTACGAGCTGGTCCCACCTCCTGCACCATGACCACCCTGGCCGTCCGGGTACTCACTCGCCTGCATCTTGCCAGATGGCCAGGTCGAGCTGACAGATGATGGTGGTCGCATCCGTCGGGTGCATGGCCACAACCTGAAGCTGTACCTCAAGAGCGACGTGGATCCTCTCTTGGAGGCACCTGTTCATGCACCTCCCTGAGTATCCACCATGGGCGTCCAGCTAAAAGACGGTAAAGAAGCGCTTGTGGGGAGGCAACCCCACCACAGTTTGACTTTCTTTCTTGTGTTTTGAGTCGGATTGTAAACCGGTTTGGCTTTGGTTTGTTTTCTTTTGTTTTGGATAATGTATTATTGGGCTGACCATTGGACCTAACGTATTGTGTTTGAGCTCTTTGGTTTCCTTTAGCTGTGCTTGTCTTGACTGGTCCTCTCTCCACTCCGCTTCACTCCGACTGGTCCGCTTCCAGTCTCCTGCAGTCCGTGCATACCGGTAACATTGTTCCCCTTTCCCTTCCCTCTTCTCCATTGAGGGCAATGTCGATCTTAAGTGTGGGGGGATGTTTATCTTTTGACCGCGTTAGATCTGTTTGTGTGCTCGGAGCCTAGTCCACTGTCCAAATTTTTAAATTTGAGGGCTCCAAGTACGTGTTTCCGTGCAATTGCCTGCTCAGTATGCTTTGAATTGACAGTCTTTATAGTAATATGAAACCTAGGGAGGTAGTGTAGCACTATGGAGGATGTTGATGCATTTAAGAAGTCTCATTTCTTCTTCATATTGTGTTGGTTGATTGAGTGAATTAGTGATCTTAGGACCCTTGAATTGTGTGGTGTTGTGGACTCTCTACCTGTGATGGACTCTTGTTTCATGTTTTGAGTTAAACAGGTGCTCGAAAATGTGCTTCAAAATAACGTCTCCCGTGCGAATAGGGCGAAAGTGTGTAAGGGGAGACGGGAATTCGTTCCCAATTTCCACCTACTACCTCCAGCCCCCTTACATGTCTTTCCCCCGCACGAGGCTCGAGATATCCGCTCCTGGCATGGCCGGTAAGAGCCGGGCTCCCGCAAATCCTCTGCTAGGTGGGAGCCCCCATTTTCTGAAAAGCAGGTTGAGAAATGTGAGAGTCCATGATCCTTTGTTTTTGAGAATCTCTTCATCCACGATTCATTTGTCCTCTGTTCATTATTTGCCATGATGCCGACTCGATACTAGTGCTCTCGCTGAAGAAGCTATAAGATGACTTGTGCGTCGGTTGACCTCGTAAGCTGCTAAATGATCTAGGAAGTCCTCTACCTACGATCTGGGTTGTTTGTTGCTATAGAGGTCTGGAGAGTTGCATTGGTTTGAGTTAGGTTTGCTTGGGGACAAGCAAACGGTTAAGTGTGGGGGAATTTGATAACGATGTAATTGCACGTATTTGCACCCCTAGTTCTTATCCGTTTGAGGGGCATTCGGAAGTCATTCGGTGGAGCTGGAGCCAAAACACGGGCACACCTAAAGCAGAACACGGCCGTGTTCCTAGGCCGTGCTTTTACTGCCGAGAGCTGATTTGAGTTTGGCAAACACGAGCCAAAACACGGGCAGGGCTGAGAAATTACACGGGCGTTTCCACCAAAGCACGCCCGTGTCCACCCAAAAGCACGGTCGTGTTTCTTCCAACAGGCTGGCCGTGTAATTAACCCTAGCCAAAGCACGGGCGGGCTGGAGCAAAGCACGGCCGTGCCCTCGACCGTGTTTTGCCCAGTGATGCCCTTTTAAGCAGATTTCAGCCAAAACAGAAGGGGATTCGAGTTTGAGAGAGATAGAGCGATTCCTAGAGAGAGAAAGCGACGAACAAGAGTCTCCAAGTGCCCTAGCTTGATATTCATCACCATTGGAGCTTGGCTTGAGCTTGGAGGAGTGCCAATCAACGTCCAGGAGCAGGAATCCATCCTTCACAGTATGAATTCCGCGTCTGATTCTGCTTTTGCCTCTTTCTCCATGGAGTAGTTCTCCCATTCATCTGGGTATGTAGAACTCTAGATTTGTATGTTAGGTTTGATTGTATGAACCCAAGTACTGATTCTATGATTTGATTATATTCAATTGAGGTTTGAATGATTGAATGGCATGAATCCTGATCAAATTCCTGTTGTTTCTGCTTTAACCTAGAATGAGAATATCTGCCTAGGTTGATAGAGCATCCTTGATTGAAGGTTGGGAGTTGGTGACTTTAGTCGAGGAGCCAACTCACTATTCTGGACCAAATTCACTTCGGTAGTGGAGGTTTTGTTGTTAGGGCCTCAATCTATTTACTCCGGTGGAGGCTAGTCGCCCGCTAGAGACTCAGATTGAGATGGTCTGAAGACCTTTAGTCGAGACTTCAGGCTGTTTAAGAACCTTCCGCAGTATAACTATCATAGAAACTGAACTTGGTAATTGCAATCCGGCTTAACTGCAGTCTAGGGGGAACCATATCCGGGTGACCTCTCTTAACCTGAAAACAACCGTTTACTTGCTTTGTTTGTTTGTTAGTTTAGAATTGCATTAAAGTTTCATTGCTAGATAACAAGAATTCACCGAGTAGTCATCAAATCTAGGACCCGGGTTGACATTTAAACCCAAACCCGCTATACTACGCTTTAGGAAGTGGTTTCACTTGGCCAATTCCTAGAGTGAAAGTAGAAGTGAGTCAACAGCTCCCCAAGCTTCCTCTTGTTGGTGAGGAGATCCTTCATGAACTTGGCATACTTGTGCATCATCGATAATGCCTCCACGAATGGCATGCTTATGTTTACTTGCTTCAGCATTGCCATGAACTTGGAAAACTCAGTCTCCAGTCGGTCTTTGTGCAACCGAGTAGGAAAGGGAAGCTGCGGTACATACTCCTTCACCACTAGTTGCGGCTTAGGAGCAGGCACCTCAACCTCAACCTCCTTCTCCATTTCCACTTCATTAGCTGGAAGTGCTGAAGCAGGGGTCTCTCTCTCTTGTGCCCGAACAGGTGGATCAGTAATCATCTTGCCACTCCTGGTAGTAATGGCCTTGCAGTGCTCATTTGGGTCCTGCGGATGAGGGATGGTCTGACCGGGCAGAGTACCAGGAGTCCTCTGGGCTACAGATTGGGCCACACTCCCAAGCTGGGTCTGGATATCCCGTAGCACAGCCTGCGTGTTTCTCTGGCCAGCTTCTAGCTCCAAGAATTTACCTGAAGCTTTCTCCATGAACTGCTCGATATTATTGAACTTGTTTGCACTGGAGGTGGCCAGAGAACCCACTAGATCTCACAATTTTGCCATCGGATCACTCTATATTGGGGCTGTGAGGGCTGCCCCTGATTGATGAAATGGCTGCACCTGTGACTTAGGTGGAACTGGCCCCTATCTGGGCGGGTATAGAGGTTGTTGCGGCTGTTGAAATTGCCCTTGTCTTGTGCTGGTAAGGAGGCCTCTGGAAGCCAGGTGGTCTCTGGGGGACTGGTGGTCTAGAATTGGCCCCAACCCAGGAGAAGTTGGGATGCTGGCACCACCCCTCGTTGTAAGTGTTGTTGTAGGGGTCGAAACGCCTGACATTGCCGATGAAGTCCACCTGCTCCTGGGGAGTAGATGACTCCCTCATCGCTTGACAGTCCTCCACAGTGTGATGGGAGCTCTCATAACACTGGCAGTGCATCGCCTGCTGCTGTCCTATACGTGAAATAATCACAGAGCGATCGATGGGTGAAACCAGTTTCGATACCACCTGCACCAAATCAGATGACGGGGTGGCTACAACATGCACACCCGGCCCTAGTGCTCGTCTTGATCTCCTCTCAGTTCCCCAATCATAGTCCTGGTCTGCCATCTCTTCAAAAAGTTGATTCAACTGTGGCAGAGTCTTGGTGAACATATTCCCGCCACAGACTGAGTCAATCAGCTGCTTTTCTTCCGGGAAGCGGGCATGGTAGAAGGTGCCCACCTTGAAGCGTCGGTAAAACCATGATTGGGATACTTGAGGAAGAGACCGTTGTATCTCTCCCAAGCATCCCGAATGGTCTCATCTTCGTCTTGAGCAAAGTGGGTAATTTGCTTCTGCAGGTCCGCCGTCTTGGACGGAGGATGGTAGCGGGTGAGGAACTTGTTCGCCAGGTTGGCGAACGTGGTGATCGAGCCTGGAGGTCGAATGTCTAGCCACTCCTTGGCTTGCCCCCCTCCAGAGTAAATGGGAAGTACCTCATATGGATTGCATCGGCTGGGACCCCATTGATCTTGATCCCATCAATGAGCTCGTGGAATTGCCTCAGGTGTGATCGGGGGCACTCCCCCTCCTTGCCACGGAATACCACCGAACCGCGTAGCATGGTGACGACAGAGGTGCTCACCTCAAAGTTATTCGCTGGAACATGAGGGTGCTGAATGGGCGACCTCATGTTCGCGGCTCTGGCATTCCAGTAATACCCCATGGTCTGCTCCTCGGGAAGGACCACTTCATGGTCCTATGGGTCACCCATCTCTTCCTCCTCGACGATTTGCAGCAGTGCTGGAGCCTCCTCCGCAGCCAGACGCGCCTTTAAAGACCGCTTGAAATTCCTACAGGTCCGTTCAAGCTCTTGGTCTAACGGTAGTAAATCTCCCAACTGGCTACGGGTCATGCACTACCTGCACACAGAAGGCAAACACAACACGTGAAGGCACAAAGGTGAAAGAGAGAGAATGCAGAAAATAAAAAGCTAGAGTAACAAACTTTCACGTTTCCACAATAACCTAGAAAGTCCCCAGCTGCCGGCGCCAATAACTTGACACGCTAAAACACAACACCATACTGTGATCAAGTGCAATCACAGTCTGGAAATGCAGTAAGTGGCAAGCTCTATTTGTCAACCCGGGGACTAGATCTACTGCCTACTCCGTGGTTATTTATTATCTAGCAAACTAAGTCGAGTGATTGTGGTTTTAGCTAAAAGCAGTAAGAAAGCAGGAAACGATTCGGTTTTCTAAATCAAGGGAAGAGTCACTCGGGAATGAGTCCCCCTAGCTCATTAGTTAGGTCACAGTTGTAATTGCCCTGGGTTGATTAACTGTTGATTAAACTGCGGAAGATCCGACAGTAGCTTGGAATCTCTTAAGCTGACCAAGCCCTCTCAGTCCAACTACCCGGCAGACGACTAGTCTTCACCGGGATAGAAAGCTGAGGCTATGAACGCAGAACTCCACTACTGGAATTGGATTCCAGTACAAAACAGTAAATCGATTAACTCTCGTATAATCAATCTACCACTACCGATTGATGAAACTCTAACAACCTAATCAGATTCACTCTATCTCAGGTTGCAGCAGAAATCAAGACTTCAATTGACTCAATAAATCATGCATCAATCGATTAAAATCAATCAGTATAACAATCCCAAGTCATTACAATCAAGATCCCTAACACATGGAACTAGGGTTCTTCATACCCAAGTGAGAAAAGATTCTACTGCATAGAGAGAGAGAGAGGAAAACAGAAATCAGAGTAGTCACACTCATAACGATGAGGATAATCTGCTCCGGGATGATGATCTTCACTCCCGGGGATGCAATCTGGGCTTAAATGGTGAGAAATTCACTCAAAATAGCTCCTAGGGTTTGTTCTTCGCACTTTCTCTCTCTAAAACTCTGTTCTTGCTCCAAAAAGTCGACTCCCTCTCCTTTGGCTCAAATCTGCCTCAAAAACCCGATTCTGGGCGAAATACGGGCTGAGTTACGGTCGTAAACAAGGTCTGCCCGTAATTCGCCCAAAACGCGCATTTCAATTAACTCTGAGGAAGGGAATTACGGTCATCATCATTCAGTTTACTGCCAGTAATTATGTAATTACGACCGTAAATGAGTCCACTCTTGCCCGTAATTTGCTCTGCAACAGACATTCTCAGGGATCTGGCTCGGCATTGCATTTATGGTCAGGACAGAAATAATTACGCCCGTAATTGGGCAGGGGATACCCGTAATTTGCATCTTGAATCGCCAACTGACCTCCAAATGACCCGAAACTTGCGCCTATGCATCTCTTTACTTCCTATGACCTGAAATACGACAAAATAACACCACTTAGCGTAAAATAGGCCAAGAAACCACAAATTGGAGCAAAAATGGTCAGGAAACAAGAGTGAAAACATGTGCAAATAAGACTATCAATCCTCAATAGCTTTCACCAGCCGCCTCTGTATGTATCCAGTCTCAGATATTTCACTCTTGCGGAGTCAACCCACGGAGATATGAATTCTACACAAACCCAAGACTTTCGGGCCCATAGTCATCCTTTGTGAAGTGTGGCAATGTCCTGTCAACGAAGTCATATGGTATCTGTTTTCCCTCGACATTCTGCTGTCAGTCCTACACAAACAGTCATTTCTGAAATATTAATGAAACTCCCTTTTGATCCAGCAGTGACCATTTCCTTGAGATTATTGCTTTCAGATAAACTTTTCTATGAACTACTTCCTGCATCATCTTGAGCTTTGGTCAGGACCTAAACCAGAGAAGACAAGAGAAGTAAGAATATCAGCAAAGAGGACAGAGACCACAGTCATATATTGAAAAAGAACGGAGCACGACTTCAGCACGTAGTTCACTTTGTTCTCAAATGATTCCATCATAGTCCGTCCAGGTTCAGGCTCTAAATCTTTATTCTGGTCTTTCCTTATAAGATCTTTCACCTCAGTTTTTGCAGATGAAATTGTTTCTTTAATTTTTTCCATTGTAGAAGCATCAGCAATTGTATCTCCAATCCCAATGCCTAAAAGACTGCTGCAAAAGCCAATAATTCACAAGCCATTGGGTGTGTCCCAAAAACTTCCTTGCTGCATCAGGACCAACTTCTTCTCTAAGGAGGTGAAGGAGGAAATAAAATTCCGTCAGGCTGGATATGGGAATAAAGAGGCAGGGAATATCAACAGTTTTGATTGTAACTAGATAACTTCCGGGAAATTCAATGAAGATTCAAAGGATGTTGTGGGAAGTGGACACACTTGAACAAAAGCGAGCACACATTAAAATGCTTAC